CATTTCTTTCTTTTTTTTTTTTTTTTTGAGACAGAGTCTCACTCTGTTGCCCAGGCTGGAGTGCAGTGGCATGATCTAGGCTCACTGCAACCTCTGCCTCCCAGGTTCAAGCAATTCTCCTGCCTCAGCCTCCTGAGTAGCTGAGACTACAGGCTCCCGCCACAACGCCCAGCTAATTTTTTTGTATTTTTAGTAGAGAAGGGGTTTCACCATATTGGCCAGGCTGGTCTCGAACTCCTGACCTCAGATGATCTGCCCTCCTCGGCCTCCCAAAGTGCTGAGATTACAGGCAAGAGCCACTTTTTTTTTTTTTTTTAATTGAGGCAGGGTCTTGCTCTATCTCCCAGGCTACAGTACAGTGGAGCAATTACGGCTCACTGCAGCCTTCGCCTCCCGGGTTCAAATAGTTCTTGAACTAGAGCCTCCCAGGCTCAAGTCCTCCCACCTCTGCCTCCCGAGTAGCTGGGACCACAGTCATATGCACACACCATCAGGCCCTGCTAATTTTTGTAAAGACAGGGTTTCGACATGTTGCCCATGGCTAGCTTCAAGCCCGGTGGGGGGACAGGGGGACGCTCAAGTAATCTGTCTTCCATGGACTTCCAAAGTGTTGAGATGACAGGCATGAGCCACCACGCTCAGGTCTAATGGCGAGTAAGATGGAATATTTTCATGTTTGTTGGCCAGTTGTATATCTTCAGTTAATTGTTTCCATCTTTTGCCAATTTTTTCCTTTTGGCTTGTCACAATTAAGTGTTCTTGAAATGCTTTGTTAAACACGTTGTAAATGTTTTCTTCTAATGTTATCTTTTAATTTAGTGGTATGTTTTGACCTATTATTTGTTTATTAATTTTTTTTTTTTTTTTTTTTTTTTTTGAGACGGAGTCTCGATCTGTCGCCCAGGCTGGAGTGCAGTGGCCGGATCTCAGCTCACTGCAAGCTCCGCCTCCTGGGTTCACGCCATTCTCCTGCCTTAGCCTCCTGATTAGGTGGGACTACAGGTGGCTGCCACCACGCCTGGCTAATTTTTTGTATTTTTTAGTAGAGATGGGGTTTCACTGTGTTAGCCAGGATGGTCTCGATCTCCTGACCTCATGATCCGCCCGCCTTGGCCTCCCAGAGTGCTGGGATTACAGGCGTGAGCCACCGTGCCCGGCCCCTATTAATTTTTATTATTTTTTTTTTGAGACAGAGTCTCACTCTATTGCCCAGGCTGGAGTGCAGTGGCGCCGTCTCGGCTCACCACAACCTCTGCCTCCCAGGTTCAAGCAATTCTCCTGCCTTAGCCTCCCAAGTAGCTGGGACTACAGGCATGCACCACCATGCATGGCTACTTATTGTATTTTTAGTAGAGACGGGGTTTCACTATGTTGGCCAGGCTGGTCTTGAACTCCTGACCTCATTATCTGCCCGCCTCAGCCTCCCAAAGCGCTGGGATTACAGGCATGAGCCACCTCGCCTGGCCTTATTTATTTGTGAGACCATGTCTTGCTCTTTTGCCCAAACTGGAGTGCAGTGGTGGGATCTCGGCTCACTGCAACCTCCGCCTCCCGGGTTCAAGCGATTCTCCTGCCTCAGCCTCCCGAGGAGCTGGGATTACAGGCATGTGCCACCATGCCCAGCTAATTTGTGTATTTTTAGTAGAGACAGTGTTTCACTGTGTTGGCCCAGCTGGTCTCGAACTCCTGACCTTGTGATCCGCCTGCCTCGGTCTCCCAAAGTGCTGGGATTACAAGCGTGAGCCACCGCGCCTGGCCAAGCTTAGCAATATCTTAAATGAGTTGTCACCACGCCTTATTTGACCACCTACATATACCTGGATTCCAGATCCCATTACCATTGCCTAAATTTAGCCCTTCATCTCTTACCACTTGAATGATTGCACGAACTTGTTTCCTTACCTCCAAATCCACCTGCAAAACATTATTCATGATATGGTATTTCTGAAATGTATTTTACCATACGGTGTTATGGGAAAGAGATTTGGTGGCGATATATGACGCTTTTTACTAGTAGGAATAGACATTCAACATTTAATTGCGGTCAATGTTTAAATGAAACCCACAGGTCTAAAAAACACAATTGGCCGGGTGCGGTGGCTCACGCCTGAATCCCAGCACTTTGGGAGGCCGAGGCGGGTGGATCACCCGAAGTCAGGAGTTCGAGATCAGCCTGGCCAACATGGTGAAACCCCATCTCTACTAAAAATATAAAAATTAGCTGGGCGTGGTGGCACATGCCTGTAGTCCCAGCTACTGGAGAGGCTGAGGCAGGAGAATCGCTTGAACCCGGGATGCACAGGTTGCAGTGTGCCAAAATCGTGCCACTGCATTCCAGCCTCAGTGACAGGGCGAGACTGTCTCAAAAAACAAAAAACAACAAAAACAAAAAAACAAACACAATTGTCCCTTGGTATATTCGGGAGGAGTGGTTTAATGACCACTCCACCACCAAGCATACCAAAATCAGAGCATACTTAAGTCCTAAAGTTGGCCCTGCAGAACCCTCCGTATTCATGGGTTTGGCATTTTACAAATACAGTATTTTTGACCTGCATTTGGTTGGAAAAAATCCACCTAAAAGGGGTCAAACCCATGTTGTTCAAGGTTCAAGTGCACAAAGATGACAGAATGTAGGGATTAGAATAAGCCTTTACAAAATCCTTAGAATCAGTGTTAAAATTCTCCATCCTACTGCCACCCTAGAACTCCATTTCAGTTGTCCTCTTATTTGCACAGGCTGCTAGATTCGACCAGGAAGTCTTACTCCGTATTCGCAACTACTTAGACCCTTAGTTACCAACTTAATCACTCTCTATCAAAGCAACTAGATGTTAAGTTTTTCACAAAGTGCCAGCCTCCTCCCTACCTAGCCTGTATCTTTTCCTGTTTGGTACAATGCTGGGTGATCCACAAATAAAAAATTGTACTTTAAAAAAATTTCTCAAAAGAATTCCCGCTAAACAGGAGAAATTTCAATTAGCCTAGAACTAAAATGGGGGACACAACCCTCATGCTACTGTAGCAATCACCCTCAACCTGCCCTCCCTGGAAATAGCTAAGTTTAGGAAACTGTATAGCACCAATATCACGACCTATCAATATGGACAAAAAATATGCTATACCCATTCATCTGAACTTAAAAAATTTCACTAACAATCCTTTTTTTTTTTTTTGAGAGGGGGTTTCGCCATGTTGGCCAGGCATGAGCCACCATGCCCAGCCCAGAACATTTTTGTTTTTGTTTTTGAGACAGTCTTGCTCTACCACCCAGGCTGGAGTGCAGTGGCGCCTCCCAAAGTGCTGTGATTACAGAATTGAGCCACCGTGCCCACCCCAGAAAATGTTAACAGAAGCTTTGAATTAGAGATGAGGTACAATGCACAAGGTTTGGTACCTAAGAAATAAGGACTGATGAGAACCTGTCCAAGTGTTTGAACACAAAATATATTTTTAAAATTATAGCCAGGTGACACACACCTTAATACTGGCACTTGGGGAGGCCAAGGCAGGCCTATCACTTGAACTTAGGAGTTCAATACCAGCTTGGGAAACATGGAGACCCGTCTCTACAAAATATGTAAGTCCACCAGGTGTGGTGCTTGAGATGTGACTGCACCACTGCACTCCAGCCTGGGGAAGCTGGAGTGCAATGGCACAATCTGGGCTGACTGCAACCTCTGCCTTCTGGGTTCAAGCGATTCTCCTGCCTCAGCCTCCTAAGTAGCTGGGATTACAGGCGCATGACACCACACCCGGCTAATTTTTTTGTATTATTGATAGAGAAGGGGTTTCATGATGTTGGCCAGGCTGGTTTTGAACTCCTGACCTTAGGTGATCCTCCTGCCTCAGCCTCCCAAAGTGCTGGGATTACAGGCGTGAGCCACCATGCCCAGCCTTTTTTTTTTTTGGAGAAACTTGTGTCTACAAAAAAGTTCGTGGTGCAATCTTGGCTCACTGCATCCCCAATGACCCGGGTTCCATTGATCCTCCCACCTCAGCTTCCAGAGTAGGTGGGATTACAGGAATGCGCCATCACACCCAGCTAATTTTTTTGTGAAAATAGGGATTCGCAGGCTGGGCGTGGTGGCTTATCCCTATAATCCCAGCACTTTGGGAGGCCAAGGCAGGCGGGAGTTTGAGACCAGCCTAGCCAACATGGTGAAAACCCAGCTCTACCAAACAAAAAAAAAAAAATTAGCTGGGCATCGTCGTGTGCGCCTGTAATCCCAGCTAGTCAGGCGGCTGAGGCAGGATAATTGATTGAACCTGGGAGACGGAGATTGCACCATTGCACTCCAGCCTGGGTGACAGGGGAGACTCCGTCTCCCAAAAAAAAAAAAAAAAAAAAAAAAAAAAATTGGGGTTTCACCTTGCCCAGGCTGGTCTGAAGCAATCCACCTGCCTGTCTCCCAGAGTGCTATTACAGGCAGGTGGGAGCTACCGTGCCTGGCCTGTATAATGGCATAGTTTCAAGGCTGGGCGGTAAGCCAACGAATCATTCATTTCCAAAAGTGACGTATGAATTTTTTCAAGAAAATCAAACAAGTTTTTAAAATGTTTTCCCCACTGAAGTTAAGAACTACATATCGTAATGCACTATGCATATCTATTATCACACTTCCTATCAAGTTTTTGTCTCATTTGTTCCCCCAGCCTAGCCTGTGAGCTCTCTGAGCTCAGCAATCATCTGAAATATTAATCTTTGTATCACCAGCACTTTAACTGCCTGCAACACAGGTCCTGAATATCCGACGTAAAAAAGTGCTGAAATACAGAGTCTTTTTTTTTTTTTTTTTGAGACGGAGTCTCGCTCTGTCGCCCAGGCTGGAGTGCTGTGGCCGGATCTCAGCTCACTGCAAGCTCCGCCTCCCGGGTTCCCGCCATTCTCCTGCCTCAGCCTCCCGAGTAGCTGGGACATAGTGTTTCTATGTTATGACAACTACAGAAGCTGTGAGGGAATGAAAACTTCCAAAATGCAGAAGTTCAAAGATTTAGAGGAGGACAACACATTTAGTTTTATTTCAATCAAATCACAACACTTTCTTTTCCAACTGCTGCAAAGTGCATCTACAATATTCTATTACAGATCCACTTTTAAAAGGTTTCCTGTGACATTACAGCAAGCCTCTTTTTTTCAAACAGAGGAATAATCCCAAATTCTTCCTCAAATAAAAATAACTCCATTCCAGTAAATGGTAAATACATAAAAATTACAGTAAGCCAGACACTTAAAAGGACAGCCAAGAAGTCTTCCAACAGTTTATTAGAAAGAATGTAGACATTTAAAAAAATCCCCACTGTCATGAACATAAATTGAGGTTTTCAGCCCTGGTATAAGCTGAATCAAAAAAAGAAATAAAAAATCCAATAGTGTATTAAACATTTTTCACTCATTTGCCATACTTGACAGTGCAAATACAAATCTGGTCTAAATGTACAGACTCTCAAGCAACAATGTACAGCTTTCTTCGTCCTCCATGCTAAGAGATGTAAAAGCTTAAGGGTCAAACAATACCAAATGTATAGGCTTCAAAAACCATCTAAGTTAGGGCATTCTCTAGTTTTAGCTAAGATACACCTGGAACACTGACAAGTGATCACTTACATAGAATCATATGAAGTAAATTTTTTGAAAAATAAATTTTAGTGGAAAAATCCTGAAGGAACACCAGGAGAACAGCAGGTTACCAGTAAGGTGTCAGCCAATTTGTTCCAGCCACTTTTGAATCCATGTTCTATAATCTAAAATTTAGTTATCTTTCCCTAAGCTGAGAGCTTCCTATCATGTCAGTATCTATGTTATGAAGAAAAGGAGACTTAGGTGAGATGTTTCTATTTATCACAACAGCTGCATCAATTGCTTAGGACCTCAACAGCTTCATGAAAGTCTGGGAAATGTTCATGCATAAGGTTATTGCCTTAGCTGACTTAAAATTGCCCCATACAATGGTACATATCAACCCTTAGTGAAGCCTTTTAAAAAACAAACAGGTTGAAAAATGGGTTAAAGTAGGCAAATACAGCATCTGCCTTTAGAGCTATCAACTCAGGAATTCTCTCAATTATGAAATCTTGCAGAGAAGTTATTTTTCTTTCTCAAAATCCAAGTGATGACAATACTCCTTACTCCAGATCTGGCATTTCTGAAAGAATTGTAAAAAATATTAGTATAAAGTACATGGGAATAATCTACCAATTTTAATATCTTAAAGGAAAAGCAACCAAAAATTGAATTATATAGTTCCCCAGTAAATTAATAGGTTGTCTTGCTATCTCAAGTTATTCACATTTCTGTTTTAGTTATTTATTCAAGGTCATAAAGAAAAAATTACTTTTTTTCAAAAGAAGTTAACATCTCTATTTTGAGTTTGGTTTTTGATGCAAAATATCACTGTGTAAACATACTTTTTACATACACTTACTTTCATCATCACTGTCTTGTGAATCCTGAAAGAGGGAAAATAAAGTTACCGAACTGATCAAATACTTGAGTTTACCTGAATAGTTCAAGCGCTATTATTTTTGACTAAAGTAGCACAGGTAGGTAGTTATACCAAGCCTAGAAATTTAGTCATTGGACTTAAGACTAGGTTTAACTTAAGGTGAATGGATGTACAGCAGAGGATCTATCTACCTGTAAAAAATAGTGTGCACCTTTTGGTGACAGTTTAGCCCACCCTTTGAATCCATTCCTAAATTAACCTATGTCAGCATTCAAGAGAAAACATGGATCAATATGAAGAAAAATAGATTGACAGAAGACAGTGAACTCTAATCCTAGCTGTTGAGTGAATATTATATATTTTTCTAAATAGCATTAAATAACTTTCTGGGAGATGTTAACAGGATGCTGGGGTTGACAAGATGTTGAGAATAGTTGTTTATTATATCCTCATCCTCCTCTTACAGATTTACAATGTCCATCTGTTTTGTTTTGGGTTTTTTTTGGAGATGGAGTCCTGCTCTGTCGCCCAGGCTAGAGTGCAGTGGCGAGATCTTGGCTCACTGCAACCTCCGCCTCCCGGGTTCAAGCGATTCTCCTGCCTCAGCCTCCCAAGTAGCTGGGATTACAGGCACCCGCCACCGTGCCCAGCTAATTTTTGTATTTTTAGTAGAGACAGGGTTTCACTATCTTGGCCAGGCTGGCCTCAAACTCTGATCCACCCGTCTCCGCCTCCCAATATCCATCTGTTTCATCAGTCTCTGACCAATCCTGACATAAAACCTATTTAATTTACTTTCTTAGTCAAAATAATCCCTATAAACTGACTTTTTTTTTTTTTTTTCCTTGAGATGGAGCCTTGCTTTGCTGACCAGGCTAGAGTGCAATGGTGTGATCTTGGCTCACTGCAACCTCCGGCTCCCTCGTTCAAGCGATTCTCCTACCTCAGCCTCCCCAGTAGCTGGGATTACAGGCACCTGCCATCATGCCTGGCTAATTTTTGTAGAGACAGGGTTTCACCATGTTGACCAGGCTGGTCTCGAACTCCTGACCTCGGGTAATCCACCCACCTCGGCCTGCTGGGATTACAGACGTGAGCCACCTCGACCGGCCTGAACCGACTGTTATAATTGAGTAAGGTATTACTACATAATGTCTCTATACAATTATTCTTTGGAAATGCGATCCATTTAGGAATGGTCTACGGCAAAACCAGTTCCCTAATAGATACCCATTCCTCAAAAATGGGCACATTTTAAAAATTGCTTTTCCCTTTATTTTTTTTTTTTAGAAAAGTAGTAATCCTGAATCTATATAAAACCATTTGTAAATATGTTGTTTACTATTTAATAGTATGAAAGTAAACAGAAAAAAACTTTTAGACTTACATCATCTGCTCCATCTACTTCTGGTAAATCTACATCCTCATCACCACCCATGTTGTTCATCATCTATTTGAAGTGTAAAAATTAGTTTTAAAAATGATGTTAAGTTAGGCCCTAATTATTAATGCTGTATGCTTCAGAATAAACCTTAGGTCTGCCACGGATATCCACAAATGAAAAATGCAAAATAAATGTAAGCATCTTCCCTTCTGGAAAAGGAAGATTATAAGCAATTACACAAAATTCTAAAAACCTATACGGAAATTAAAACTAAATTTTCCCTAAAGAAAAGGTTTTAGATATTGTGAAGAACCAATAAATGATTTAAACCTAAACTATTACCAGATGATGAGAAACTTATTTTCTCAAGTTTAAACCATTTCTGTAATGTTTATATTTTAGAAAAATAAAATCACATATGCATGGAAAAAAATCAGATTTCAAAAATACATGATCACTCAGATTTTAGAATTGGAAGGGACCTTTTTTCTTTTCTTGAGATGGAGTATCACTCAGTCACCCAAGCTGGAGTGCAGTGGCGTGATCTCGGCTCACTGCAAGCTCTGCCTCCCGGGTTCACGCCATTCTCCTGCCTCAGCCTTCCCAGTAGCTGGGATTACAGGTACCTGCCACCACGCCCAACTAATTTTTTTGTATATTTAGTAGTAGATAAGAGTTTCACTGTGTTAGCCAGGATGGTCTTCATCTCCTGACCTGGTGATCCGCCCACCTCGGCCTCCCAAACTGCTGGGATTACAGGTGTGAGCCACCACACCCAGCCTGGAAGGAACCTTAAAAAGATTAGTCAAACATACAATGGAATGTGTTCATCCTAAAAGTAGGGATTATTCAGCCTTAAAAGAAAAAAATCTGCCTTATGTGACAAAACACAATGAAGAATCTGAAGCATGTCATGTTATGTGAAATAAGCCAGTCAGGGACAAATACTGCATGATTCCACTTATATAAGATACCTAAGATTATATGAGATACCTAAGATAGACACACAAAAATAGAGAGAATGGTAGCTGCCAGGAGTTGGAGGGAAGGGAAAATGCAGACTTGCTACTGTTAAATAGGTATGAAGTTCCAGTTACACAAAATGCATAGTTCCAGAGACCTACTATACAGCATTATGCCTATAGTTAACAATACTGTATCATGCACGTAAAAGTCTGTTAAAAGATAGCTGGGCATGGTCAGGTTCGGTGGCTCATGCCTGTAATCCCAGCACTTTGGGAGGCCAAGGTGGGTAGATTACTTGAGGTCAGAAGTTCGAGGCTAGCCTGGCCAACATGGTGAAACCCTGTCTCCACTAAAAATACAAAAATTAGCCGGGCGTGGTGATCGGAGCCTGTAATCCCAGCTACTTGGGACGCTGAGGCAGGAGAATTGCTTGAACCTACGAGGTGGAGGCTGGAGTGAACTGAGATCGTGCCATTGCACTCCATCCCGGGCAACAAGAGTGCAACTCCGCCTCAAAAAAAAAAAAAAAAAAAAAAAAAAAAAATAGCCAGGCGAGGTGGCTCACTACTGTAATCTCAGCACTTTGGGAGGCCAAGGCGGGTGGATCACGAGGTCAGGAGATTGAGACCCACGGTGAAACCCCGTCTCTACTAAAAATACAGAAAATTAACCGGGCGCAGTGGCAGGCGCCTGTAGTCCCAGCTACTCGGGAGGCTGAGGCAGGAGAATGGCATGAACCCAGGAGGTAGAGCTTGCAGTGAGCTTAGATCACGCCACTGCACTCCAGCCTGTGCGACAGAGTAAGACTCCATCTCAACAAATAAATAGTCTGTTAAAAAGAGTAGATTTCATGTGAAGTGCCCTTACCTCAATTAATTAAACACACACAAAAGGATTCAGTATAAAAATTTTGGGCAATCTATCTTGAATGAAATGAATAACTGGGAAAGAGTTTCCCTACCTTGAAAAGCACTATTGAATACTTTTAAGTTTCTTTGGGCAGAAAAATGCTAAATGTACTAAGTGCAACGCTACTATGTTTAAGATAAAACAGAAGAGAAAATTGAACATATTCAAGAGATATTCAGGAGGTAACAAAAACTGGACAACAAAGATAGCAAAAAAAACAAAAACAAAAACAAAAACAAAACAGTGTTACAAGGCTGGGGGCAGTGGCTCAGGCCTGTAATCCCAGCACTTTGGGAAGCTGAGGCAGGAGGATCACTTGAGCTCATGAGTTCAAGACCTGCCTAAGCAACACAATGGCTTGCACAACTAGGTAAACTGTGGCACCAACTGCTACACGTAAGGTACAATTAAAAAATACTACTAATATGAATAGAACATCTTCCCTTCCTGTTGAAATCACCGTGCCAGAGTCATGTGCAGAGAATTGTTAAATAAGCAGTTGCATACGTAAAGCTAGACACTTTTTATTTAACTCTTAAGGTCTCAAAATATAAAATCTAGTTAATGAAAAATTTCAAATAGCAACAAGAAATGGATTTCATGAGTATGCATTCAATTTACATACTAATGTTCTTTCTGTAGTTTTATTCTACTACATTTGATAAAGTCTATTCTGCCTACAAAGAGATGAATCATTTATTCTTCAGTCATGGCAACATGTTATTTGGGTGACATCTCAGATAACAGACTTTCTTAAACTTTTTTCTTTGTATACCTCATGGTAAACATTTCACCATGATTTTTTCTTTCTTTTTTTTTTTTTTGAGAGAGTCTTGCTCTGTCGCCCAGGCTGGAGTGCAGTGGTGTGATCTCAGCTCGCTGCAACCTCTACCTCCTGGGTTCAAGCAATTCTGCCTTAGCCTCCAGAGGAGCTGGGATTACAGGGGTGCACTACCACGCCCAGCTATTTTTTTGTAATTTTAATTATTTATTAATTTAGAGACAGTGTTTTGTTCCTGTTGCCCAGGCTAGAGTGCAATGGCGATCTCGGCTCACCGCAACCTCCACCTCCTGGGTTCAAGTGATTCTCCTGCCTCGGCCTCCCTAGTAGCTGCAATTACAGGCATGCACCACTATGCCTGGCTAATTTTGTATTTTTAGTAGAAACAGGGTTTCTCCATGTTGGTCAGGCTGGTCTCGAACTCCCAACCTTAGGTGATCCGCCTGCCTCACCCTCCCAAAATGCTGGGATTACAGGTGTGAGTCACATGCCCAGCCCTATTTATTTATTTTTTTTGAGATGGAATCTTGCTCTGTCGCCCAGGCTGGAGTGCAGTGGAGCGATCACGGCTTACTGCAACCTCCACCTCCTGGGTTCACACGATTCTCCTGCCTCAGCCTTCTGAGTAGCTGGCATTACAGGCGCACGCCACCACACCCAGCTAATTTTTGTATTTTTAGTAGAGGGGAGGTTTTGCCATGTTGGTCAGGCTGGTCTGGAACTCCTGACCTCGTGATTCGCCCGCCTCAGCTTCCCAAAGTGCTGGGATTACAGGCATAAGCCACCACACCCAGCCTATGATTCTTGTGTTTAAAAGTTTATAGTCATATTTTTTAGACCAAGTCCCGCTCTTTCGCCAGACTGGAGTCCAGTGGCACGATCTCAGCTCACTGCAACCTCTGCCTCCAGGGTTCAAGCAATTCCCATGCCTCAGCCTCAGGAGTAGGTGGGACCACAGGGACACGCCACCACGCCCAGCTTATTTTTTTTGTATTTTAGTAGAGACGGGGTTTCACCATGTTGGCCAGTATGGTCTGGATCTCCTGACCTCGTGATCCGCCAGCCTTGGCCTCCCAAAGTGCTGGCCTCCTCCCAAAGCGCCTGGTCAAAAGTTTTTTGTTTTTTTTGAGACGGAGTCTCGCTTTGTCGCCCAGGCTGGAGTGCAGTGGTCGGATCTCAGCTCACTGCAAGCTCCGCCTCCCGAGTTTACGCCATTCTCCTGCCTCAGCCTCCAGAGTAGCTGGGACTACAGGCGCCCACCACCTCGCCCAGCTAGTTTTTTGTATTTTTAGTAGAGACGGGGTTTCACCATATTAGCCAGGATGGTCTCGATCTCCTGACCTCGTGATCCACCCGTCTCGGCCTCCCAAAGTGCTGGGATTACAGGCTTGAGCCACCGCGCCCGGCAAAAGTTTATAGTTTTATTTTATGGCTTCAAAATCCAAGTCAACTACTGCAATCATGCTTTAAAAAAAAAAAAAAAAAAAAAAATCCCAATGATGAAATTAGGAAATTAGCAAACTAGCTGTGTTAGTCTTAATACATTAACTTTTGCAGTTAACACTGATTCCTTTTAAAATCATTAAAATGGTCTTAAAAATAACACGCATCATGAATATGTGCCCAAAACCAAATTAAATTGACTACAGACAGGTACTGTGTACTTCGAGTGGGGAGACGTCCATTTAATGGAACTTACCTCAGAAAAACGATCAAAATTAGACATGTCTTCATCTGAATCATCTTCCCAGTCTTTCCAATTATTGAAGTCGACACTAAGCCAATTAAGCTATAAATCAATACAAACATCACCCTAAGGTTAGGTTAATTTGCATTTGGCATGAACCTTAAGACTGCATTTTCTTTTCTTCTAAAGAGACCAAGTCTTGCTGTGTTGTCCAGGCTGGAGTGCAGCAAGCATTCACAGGTGCAATCCCATTATTGATCAATGTGAGTTTTGATCAGCTCCATTTCTGATCAAGGGTCTTGTTAACTCTTCAAGCAACCTGGTGGTCCCCGCTTCCTGGGACACCACCATACTGATGTTAACTTAGCATGGTTACCTGACTGACATATGGCATTGCAACCCAGAATTGGGCGCAAGTAATTCTCCCACTTCACCCTCCAGCGTCGCTTTTAACTACAACAGGCACCACATGGCTACTGGTCCCTGGCAAAACAACATTTTTTGAACTGCGACTTTGTATTTTTATGAGGGCATGTAATTAGCACACAAAGAATAGACTAAGCTAAATGGGGTGGCTTACACCTGTAACCCCAACACTTTGGGCGGCCACGGTGGAAAGATTGGTTGTGTAATCCTTCAGGAGTTCGAGACAGCCTGAGCAATAGTGTATCCTGTATCTGGGGAAAAAAAACAAAAAAACAAAGTTCCTGGGCGTGGTGGCACATTCCTATAATCCTAGCTATTTGGGAAGCTGAGGTGGGTGGGAGGATCGCTTAAGCCCAGGTGGAGGCTGCAGTGAGCCATGTTCACACCACTGCACTCTCGCATGAGTGGCATGAGACTATCTAAAAAAAAAAAAAAAAAAAATTAGGTAAGTGTGGTGGCTCATGCCTATAGTACCAGCACTTTGGGAAGCTGAGGTGGGGAGATTGCTTGAGCCTAGAAGTTCAAGAGCAATCTGAGCAAGATTGTGATACCCCTTCTCTACAAAAAATACAAAAATGAGCCAGGTGTCATGGCATGCCCCTGCAGTCCCAGCTACTTGGGGGACAGAGCGGGGAGGATCACTTGGAGCCTGGGAAGCTGAGGCTGCAGTGAGCCGAGATCGTGTCACTGCACTCCAGCCTGGGTAACAAAGAGAGACCCTGGTTTTGAAAAAAAAAACACTGAAAATTGTTAAACACACCTTTTGAAAACAAATTTACTAGTAAGAACTATTTTCAGTTGATTAATTTACTTTTTCACCAAGCTTTGTCCCCTCCCATTTGATAGCTGAGTAATTTATGCAAAGTCTATCTCTTAAGTGCAAAAGATTCTACACCAGTTAATAACTGATATTCTAATCACACTTCGTATTAAGTTAAAACTGAGTAGACAAAAAACATGAACATGAGGCTTTATACTTAGCTGTGAAACAAAAACACAGCAGTATATTACTTACATCAAATAAGTGTATCTTTTATTACCTACAATAAAAACATCAAACTTTTCAAAAAAGGAAAACGAAACCTACCTTTGCCCTTTCTTTTGTTAACCTTGGCCATGACTGGCCAGATTCTCCTTTTCGTAAACAGCATAAAATTGATCTGTCCGTTCTTTTATGCTTGGAATCCTAAAAACAAAAGGACCATCATACCATTTATCTTTCCAGTATCGCTACATGACAGAAAGTAGCTTGTCATTTCTCACCTTTTTCATTTCTTTACCTAAATTTTCTCTGGACTCTGAAAGAAACATGCCCTTGACTACTAAAAACTTCAAATTATCCAATTGCCCCAAACCACTATAACTGTCATTTTTTAAAAATTTTATTTTTTCCCTTATATTTCCTACTGAAATAACCTGTACTACAACAAAGTTTCACGTTTAACCTGATACCATTTTTTTCTTTCCTGCACATGGTAAACAGAATAAAACCTTAAAAACTTTAACTAAAAATGATATAGCCACAGAATGGTTTAAATATTCTGTTCTTGGGCCAGCATGGTGGCTCAAGCCTGTAATCCCAGCACTTTGGGAGGCCGAGACGGGCGGATCACGAGGTCAGCAGATCGAGACCATCCTGGCTAACACGGTAAAACCCCGTCTCTACTGAAAAATACAAAAAACTAGCCAGGCAAGGTAGCAGGCGCCTGTAGTCCCAGCTACTTGGGAGGCTGCGGCAGGACAATGGCGTGAACCCGGGAGGCAGAGCTTGCAGTGAGCTGAGATCCGGCCACTGCACTCCAGCCTGGGCGACAGAGCGAGACTCCGTCTCAAAAAAAAAAAAAAAAAGATTCTATTCTCAGATAAAGGAAGCCTTGGCCACGGGCGGTGGCTCATGCCTGTAATCCTAGCACTTTGGGAGGCCGAGGCAGGTGAACACCTGAGGTCAGGAGTTTGAGACTAGCCTAACCAACATGGTCTTTACTAAAAACACAAAAATTAGCCAGGTGTGGTGGCATGGGCCTGTAATCCCAGCTGCTCCAGAGGCTGAGGCAGGAAAATCCCTTGAACCTAGGAGGCAGAGGTTACAGTGAGCCAGGATTGCACCATTGCACTGCAGTAGTCTCAAAAAACAAAAACAAACAAAAAACAAAACAAACGGCCGGAGCGGTGGCTCAAGCCTGTAATCCCAGCACTTTAGGAGGCCGAGACGGGCGGATCACAAGGTCAGGAGATCGAGACCATCCTGGCTAACACGGTGAAACCCCGTCTCTACTAAAAAATACAAAAAAACTAGCCGGGTGAGGTGGCGGGCGCCTGTAGTCCCAGCTACTAGGGAGGCTGAGGCAGGAGAATGGCATAAACCCGGGAAGCGGAGCTTGCAGTGAGCTGAGATCTGGCCACTGCACTCCAGCCTGGGCGATAGAGTGAGACTCCTTCTCAAAAAACAAAAAACAAACAAAACAAACAAAAAATAAAACAAGCCTCAAGGATACTTCTCTAAGCCCAAACAGTAATAGCAAAAACAAAAAGTATGCAGAAACCAATTTTGGAGGAAATATTCTACAAAATGTAAATATACCTAGTCTATCTCACTGTTAAGAAAAACAGAGCTAATGCTTATTGCTAAAAAGAATACTTGGTATGTCTGCTTCCTCACAACTTAAATCTGGATTAAAGCATCAAGACTACTTACATTTGGATCAATACAGTGAAAAAGATCAATTTCATTTAAATGCTTAAAATTATCACTTCCTCCGAGACAACTGTATAAAATAATAAAGAAAGAATTAAGCCTCTTCAAAGAGACAAAGATTAATAATATCTTCAACGAAAAGACAAGCCAAGTTATTCAGTTGTGTGAATTACTATTTTACATCACTGGATAAAAAGCTTAACTTACCTGAATGTAAGTTTGGATTTTTCAAAATTTACATTAACATCCTTACTGTCTTCAACACAAAATTCAATGAAGACATAGTCCCTTCGATCGTACCACTTTGCAGAAGCAGGCTGCCTACAAAAGGATTAAAGTGGGGAAAGTCAAGCTGGAATTCATTAATTAAACATTTACATACTAACCTTCGACACTATTATAGCATTATTTCAGGGCAGTTCATTACAATTTTAAACAAAAACTACATTTTTACCCTAACAGCTACATTCCAAGTTAAAACCTAAGGGTCTAACAAGATTTAGTTTCAGAATGATTCCAATTTCATAGTAGGAAGGATTCAAAAACCAAACAATGCTTAGTAGTGTTAGCCATTTATCTAGTCCTATCAAAAATTATGTTACTTGGCTGGGTGCAGTGGCTCACACCTGTAATCCCAGCACTTTGGGAGGCCAAGGCAGGTGGATCACTTGAGGCCAGGAGAGCTAGAGACCAGCCTGGCCAGCATAGCAAAACTCCGACTCTACTAAAAATACAAAATAAATAAATAAATAAATAATAAATAAATAAATATTAGCTGGGCATGGTTATGCGGCCTGTAGTCCCAGATACTTGAGGGTTGGGACTGAGGCACAAGAATAACTTGAATCCGGGAGGTGGAGGTTGCAGTGAGCTGAGATCATGCCACTGCATTCCCAACTGGGCAACAGAGACTCTTGTCCCAAAACAACACCAAAAAAAACTGGTACATCAGAGCTTTACTTTTTAAGTTCACTAAAACCAGGAGAATGAATCTCCTTTCCTCAAATTAAGCAATCTAGAATTTTATCAGTTTCCTCAAAATTAATACATTGAAGTCCTAACCCCCAGTACACCTTAAGAATGTGATTATATTTGGAAATAGCATCTTTAAGTTACAATTAAGTAAATATGAGGTCTTAGGGTAGACCCTAATCCAATGACTGTTGTTCTTCTATACGAAGAGATTAACACAGAGGGAAGAAAGAAAATAGCTATCTGCAAACCAAGGAAACAAGGAAAGGACTGCTGACACCTTCGCCTTGGATTTTCAGCCTCCTGGAAATGTGAGGAAATAAATTTCTGCTGTTTAAGCCACCCAGTGTGTGATACTTTCTTATAAAAGCCTTAGCAGGCTGAGGTCGAGAATTCAAGACCAGCCTCACCAACATGGAGAAACCCCGTCTCTACTAAAATCATAAAAAAGTAGCCGGGCGTGGCGGTGAGCGCCTTAAGTCGCAGCTACGTGGGAGGCTGAGGCAGGAGAAAGGTGTGAACCCGGGAGGCAGAGCTTGCAGGGAGCCGAAATCAAACCACTGCACTACAGCCTGGGCGGCAGAGCGAGACTCCATCTCAAAAAAAAAAATTAGCCGGGTGTGGTGGTGCATGCCTGTAATCTCAGCTTAAGAGGCTGAGTCAGGAGAATCGCTTGAACCTGGGAAGTGGAGGGGTTTCAGTGAGCTAAGATCGTGCCATTGCATTCCAGCCTGGGCAACAAGAGTGAAATTCTGTCGGCCGGGCGCGGTGGCTCAAGCCTGTAATCCCAGCACTTTGGGAGGCCGAGACGGGCGGATCACGAGATCGAGACCATCCTGGCTGACACGGTGAAACCCCGTCTCTACTAAAAAATACAAAAAAAAAAAACTAGCCGGGCGAGGTGGCGGGCGCCTGTAGTCCCAGCTACTGGGGAGGCTGAGGCAGGAGAATTGCGTGAACCCGGGAGGCGGAGCCTGCAGTGAGCTGAGATCCGGCCACTGCACTCCAGCCTGGGCGGCAGAGCGAGACTCCGTCTCAAAAAAAAAAAAAAAAAAAAAAAAAAGAAATTCTGTCTCAAAAAAAAAGAAAAAGAAAAAAGGGGGGGGGGGGGCACAGCACGGTGGCTCATGCCTGTAATCCCAGCACTTTCGGAGGCAGAGGCAGGTGGATCACGAGGTCAGGAGTTCAAGACCAGCCTGGCCAATATGGTGAAACCCCGTCTCTACTAAAAATACGAAAATTAGCGGGGTGTGGTCGCATGCGCCTGTAGTCCCAGCTATTTGGGAGGCTGAGGCAGGCCAATCAGCTGAAGTCAGGAGGTGGAGGTTGCAGTGAGCCAAGATCACACCACTGCACTCCAGTCTGGGTGACAGAGCGAGACTCTGTCTCAAAAAGGAAAAAAGCCTTAGCAAGCTTATAATCACGTCCCAGATAATAAAACAAATTTAAATTATCAAAACCTGTGGTTAGGCCATGAGCCAAAAATGATTCCTACATTTTTTAAATATTAAAAAACAAAACAAAACAAAAAAAACAAACCCGGGAGGCAGAGATTGCAATGAGCCAAGATTACACCACTGCACTCCAGCCTAGGCAACAGAATGAGACCAAAAAAAAGAAGAAGAATGTGAATGAGAGAGGTATTTGTGGCCTGCAAAGCCTAATATTTACTGGCTGACCCTTTATACAAGTTGGCTAACACATTAAAACTACAAACAGGGTCGAGTGCGGTGGCTCACGCCTGTAATCCCCAGCACTTTGGGAGGCCAAGGTGGGTGGATCACCTAAGGTCAGGAGTTCGAGACCAGCCTGGCAAACACGATGAAACCCTATCTCTACTAAAAATACAAAAAATTAGCTGGGCGTGGTGGCGGGCGCCTGTAATCCCAGTTACTCGGGAGGCTGAGGCAGGAGAAAGGCGTGAACCCAGGAGGCGGAGTTTGCAGTGAGCTGAGATCACGCCACTGCATTTCAGCCTGGACAATAAGAGTGAAACTCCGTCTCAAAACAAAACACAAAACTGCAGACCAGGCGCAGTGACTCACGGCCGTAATCCCAGCACTTTGTGAGGCCAAGGCTGGTGGATCACCTGACGTTGGGAGTTTGAGACCTGCTTGACCGACATGGAAAAACCCCATCTCTACTAAAAACACAAAATGAGCCAGGCGAGGTGGCGCATGCCTGTAATACCAGCTATTCGGGAGCAGAGATAAGAGAATCACTTGAACCTGGGAGGCGGAGGTTGCAGTGAGCCAAGATCAAGCCATTGCACTCTAGTCTGGACAATAAGAGCAAAAACTGTGTCCAAAAAAACCCCCAAAAAACAAAAACAAAAAACAAAACACAACTACAAATGGTGGGCCGGGCATGGTGACTCACACCTGTAATCCCAGCACTTTGGGAGGTCAGGGTGGATGCATTACCTGAGTTCAAGAGTTTGAGACCAGCCTGGGCAACATGGCAAGACCCCCATCTCCACAAAAAATAACGTAGGCCGGGCGCGGTGGCTCAAGCCTGTAATCCCAGCACTTTGGGAGGCCGAGACGGGCGGATCACGAGGTCAGGAGATCGAGACCATCCTGGCTAACATGGTGAAACCCCGTCTCTACTAAAAAAATACAAAAAACTAGCCGGGCGAGGTGGCGGGCGCCTGTAGTCCCAGCTACTCGGGAGGCTGAGGCAGGAGAATGGCGTGAACCTGGGAGGCGGAGCTTACAGTGAGCTGAGATCCAGCCACTGCACTCCAGCCTGGGCGACAGAACGAGACTCCGTCTCAAAAAAAAAAAAAAAAAAAAAAAAAATTAACGTGGGTGTGGTAGCATGTATCTGTGGTTCCAGCTACCATGGCGACTGAGGTGGGAGGATCACCTGAGCCTGTGAAGTCAAGGCTGTGTAAGCTGAGATCACGCCACAGCACTCCAGCCTGAATGACAGAGCAAGAACTGGTCTCAAAAATAAAAAACCATGAAAACAAAAAACAAACAAAAAACCCCCCAAAAACTACAAGTGGGGCCGGGCGCGGTGGCTCAAGCCTGTAATCCCAGCACTTTGGGAGGCCGAGACGGGCGGATCACGAGGTCGGGAGATCGAGACCATCCTGGCTAACATGGTGAAACTCCGTCTCTACTAAAAAATACAAAAAACTAGCCGGACGAGGTGGCAGTCGCCTGTAGTCCCAGCTACTGGGGAGGCTGAGGCAGGAGAATGGCGTAAACCCGGGAGGCGGAGCTTGCAGTGAGCTGAGATCTGGCCACTGCACTCCAGCCTGGGCGGCAGAGCGAGACTCCGTCTCAAAAAAAACAAAAAAAAAAAAAAAAAAAAAAAAACAAAAACTACAAGTGGGTGGAGGGTGCCCTACACTTATCCTGAATCAGGAATAAACACATACATATTCCGTCATTTGAAAGGAGAACTGTGCCAGGCGTGGTGGCTCACGCCTGTAATCCCAGCACTTTGGGAGGCCGAAGCTGGAGGATCACCTGAGGTCAGAAGTTCGAGACCAGCCTGACCAACACAGTGAAACCCCATCTCTACTTAAAAGAAAAAAAAAAAAAAATTGCTAGGCCTGATGGCACATGCCTGTAATCCCAACTACTTGGGAGGCTAAGGCAAGATAATCGCTTGAACCTGGGAAGCAGGGGTTGCAGTGAGGCAAGATCATGTCATTGCAATCCAGCCAGGGCAGCAACAGTGAAACTCCGTCAAGAGAGAAAGACAGACAAGAACGGAAGGAAGGAAGGAATGGAGGGATGGAGGAAGGGAGGAAGGGAGGAAGGGAGGAAGGAAGGGAGGAAGGGAGGGAGGGAGGGAGGGAGGAGGGAGGAAGTGGGGGGAAGAGGGAGGAAGTGGGGGGAAGGGGGAGGAAGGGGGGAAGAGGGAGGAAGGAAGATTGGGTTGGTTGCAGTGACTCACACCTATAATCCCAACACTTTGGGAGACTGAGGTGGGCAGGTTGCTTGAGGCCAAGTTTCTGACCAGCCTGGCCAATATGGCAAAACCCCATCTCTACTAAAAATGTAAAAACATTAGCTAGGTGTGTTGGCACATGCCTGTAGTCTCACCTACTCGTTGTGAGGCTGAGGCAGGAGGATCACCTGAACCTAGGAAATGAAGATTGCAGTGAGCTATGGCGGCGCCACTGCACTCCGGCCTGGGCAACAGGGCAAGACTTTCTCAAAAATAAATAAGCAAACAAACAAACAAACAAAACAAACATGGAAAGTCAACGTTTATGAAGTCTCCTTTTGCCTTACACCATCTCTTTTTCTCCTATTAACAAATGGAGAGGGCTGGGCGTGGTGGACCACGCCCGTAATCCCAGCACTTTGGGAGGCCAAGGCCGGTGGATC